GCAGAAGCAAGATAGCTTTTATAGGATTACAACAAAGCCTGAGCATCGTAAACCAATCATCTCATAGCATCCAGAGCCCATGTGGTGTAGACCAATCAATTCAAACCATCCAAGCCCGGGCTTTATATTTTTATCAGTTTCCTATAGCCCTGGAGGTCTGCATTTGTGCGGCTCCTGGATGGGGTGACAAAGCTCACATACTCACAGGTCCTGTCCTAAACAGCAAAGAATGTGACCTTTCGCCTATTTACTGGCTGAGGGCAGGGTCTGGAATTTAAGGTTTAAACTTTTAGCTTCCTGGGGTCATTGGAGAGTTAGGCTGCATTTTTCCATTCTTACAAAGTAACAACAAGAAAACAATTGTAGTATCTTAGACAAATTATTTCTCAAAGTCTCAACATAGCTTCACCTTTAAAATAGTAAGATGACAACCATATCCTTTGAAAACGTTGGTCTTGAGAAAATGTATGTGAAGGTTCTAGAACACAGTAAAGACTCAATGACACCAATTTCCCCTATGGTTTCTAGAAGTTTTTCTTCCACTTCACTGAACCATCAAACCACGTATATTTTGACTTAAACTCACTTCTCCTTCAAGGATAGGTTTTTCTTGTCTTCATGTAAAGTGGAAAATGTTCTCCAAGTTCAAGTACATATTATTACACATCAAGGTATAGGGATGGAGGAAAAAAGTTTGAATATAAATACCTGCTTACAGGTGTAGTCCAGTCCTTAGGCATCTGACATCCAATACCTTCACAGGCAGTTTCAAACTAGCTGTCTCCCATTGTCCAGTAAAAAGTGCCAGTTCTTAGAAAAGTGCAGCGAGCTGTACTACCCTATCCCGTTCTCTTTGCTGCCATCTACTGACAGGTTAATGGACGATGTCTCTCTCTTAGCAAACCTTGCTATCAACCTAGAGAATATCACCTGAAGATAATTCACTCTAAAGGAAATCCGGCCATTCCCTTAATTAGATAATCCTTCTCCTAGGCTAACAGTCAGAGACATGTTGTAGCAGGTGCCTGTCTCCATGGGGAAGGATCACCTTGCTGATCTTAGAATATTAACTATATACTGGTGTGTAGAGGACATGAGGCCCTTGTGCACACTGAGAAGCACCAGGGACACCAGGAATGTTAAACACACAGAGTTATCTCTCCAATGGGAGAGGGTCTTTTCCACCCAGGAGGCTGGGAATGGATGCGGCTAATAGCCTGATGACCTGCGATACTATCTGCTGGGCCAGACCACACCTGAATCTCCCAGACGATTATGTTTATTCCAGACTTTTCCTCCCTAGATCTTTATCTTGAGCACTGTTTCTCAGTCAATGGAGCCCATCCTTACAGGAGATGTCACATGTACTTTATAGCTTGGTGACCTCTATGCTAAACTGTACAACCGAGACCACAGTGGAGTCTCTAAGCTATAGAACCCAGCCTTATAAAAGAGATCACATATGCTTTGCAAAAGAATTTCAAAGTCACTGTGCCTTAAGCTTTATTGTGCACACTGGATTGAGATAATTGTTACCAGGAAACTTTTTCCCAAAACTGTACTATACTTAAATATGCCTAAACAAACTGCCTGGTGTCAGACTCTAGAAGTTTAAACCATCATCATCTACTGAGTCATGTTGAACCAGATTTCCTTCTTGCCTCACACAGGTCATTGTCCTGCTGGCTGTAGCATTTGCCCTATCGTGGGGTTCTACAGCTGTGAAGAAACACCACGACTATGGCAACTCTTACAAAGGAAAACATTTAATTGAGGTGAGTTTCAGAGGTTCAGTCCATTATCATCATGGTAGGGAGCATGGTTGCATGCAGGCAGACATGATGCTGGAGGGACAGCTGAGAGTCCTTCATCTTGCAGGCAACAGGAAGTCAACTGAGACACTGGGCGGTATCCTGAGCATAGGAAACCTCAAAGCCTGCCCTCACAGTGGCACACTTCCTCCAATAAGGCCACACCCACTCCAACAAAGCCATAGTTCCTAATCATGCCACAGTCTATGAGATTATGGGGTCCAATTACATTCAAACTACCACTCCCTCCTCCCACATTAGTGTATAATAAGTTGTCACAAAATTTAGTAGCTTTAATTGACAGATACTTATTATTTTATATAGTTTCTGTGGATTCAATTTTTTTTTCTTTTTGAGACAGGGTTTCTCTGTGTAGCTTTGGAGCCTGTCCTGGAACTCACTCTGTAGACCAGGCTGGTCTCGAACTCACAGAGATACACCTGCCTCTGCCTCTCAAGTGCTGGGATTAAAGGCATGCACCACCACTGTCCAGAGGACTAGGAAGTTTTTAACAGAAAGATACAATCAAGATAATGGGAGCCACAGTGATGGTTAAGTGGTGCCCACCATGCCCAGAGGGCCCAGGTTCCATTCACAGTATCCACAACCACCATATGTCCAGCTCCATGGAATCCAACACTCTTTTCTGGCCTCCACAGGCACTAGACACTTACATACATTCATACATACATACATACATACAGGCAAATACATACATAAAATATAAATAACTTTTAAAAAAATTGTAATCAATGGTCTGTACAACCTAGGCTCAGCTACTCTGGAGGCTAAGGCAGTAGAACTTGTGTCCACCAGTTTGAGAATAGTTGGGCAACATAATAAGCAAAAAGAAAAAGGAAAGAACTGGCAGTTCTGTGGCCCAGGTTCACAGTTGTGAATGAGGCTACAGTTAGCTGAAGGCCTAACTATGACTAAAGGAGCACAACCTACCTAAGAACTGGCAGCTTGGCACTGGTTGTGGGTGCAAGGATTGCCTCAGTTCCTGTCATATGGGCTTTTCCACAAGGACTTCATGGTGGCTAGCACCTGGCCCAAATTGGAAACTACAATGTAACACACTAACATTTGTACAATATACACATCAATCTTATTTAGTATGTGAAGGGAGACCTTGAGAGCAATCTTGCAGAAAGCTTCTTTTGGTTGTTCAAAATTTTCACACTACTTCCCTCTCCTTGTTTCTGAGATAGGGTCTCCCTATGCAGCCCTGGCTGACCTATCGAAGTTCCAAAGACTCTCCAGGAGAAGAGGGTTTCAAGGATTACTGTCACAAGATAAAAGGCAAAACAACTGGTCATGAGTTAAATGAGTCATGAATTATATCTTTCTGTTGATCATGCTCCTGAAACACTGAAATACCGAACTTGTCAGTAAGTAAATAACAACTATTCTAGAAGAATTTCCTCCCACTTCTTACACAAGCTTCTTTCAGAACGTCCATTATTTTAATTGTACATATGTAGGCAGTATGGTGTAATAAATAATAAGATATAAGATGTATGCACTCACCTGTCATGATCAGGGAGGGCAGTAAGCATTTACATCTACTTAAACTTTTTTTTTTTTTTTCTATTTGAGAATTAAAAGAGCTTTCTGTGCCCCAGTTCCTGTATTGACTAGCCAGGCAACAGGACCTAAAAGAAAAGGTCTCCCAAGAATGTAGATCTCATTTATCTCTTCAGTGAACTAAAAACACAATGGCCTTTTAACTGAATTTGTTAAGGGTTTTAACCTTGAATAAGACTGTATTTCCCCAGCAGATTATAGAAGACTAAAACTTTCTCCTACCAATATGCTTTATATCTTAATTAAAGTAGTCAATAGAGCTGGGTGTGGTGGCACAGGCTCATAAACGCCAGCACTCAAGAAGTTGAGACAGGAGGATTCCAATCTGCAGTCTGGGATACATGGTGAGTTTAAGACCAGGCTGTACATACCAAAACCCTATCTCAAGGGGGGGGGGGATCACCAAGAGGTGGTCCCAGATGAATTCCTTTCTTTGGAGCACAGACAGTATGCCAAAGCTAAGAATCTGAGCCTTAGCACCTGGCAGTTTGGGGGTTTTAGTTCAGTTCTTTGCTGGATACCGTGTAGTAACATCTGAGTCCCATACCAAAACCACACACCGAGGATAGCCAGCACCTAGCATGTGAAAACACTCCACAATTTCTTGCTGAGAACTAAATAAATCCTTGGTATTGAACTTACTATTTCAGTCATGGACTCTTACAACAAAATTGTACATCATAAACATTAGTAAACATCAATTATTATTTTAGAAATAAGGTTTTATGTAGTTGACTGGCTCCAAACTTGCTATTTAGCTAAGGATGATCCTTGACCCCTGAATTCCCCAGCGCTGGGTTAAGTAGGTATGCACTGCCATGCCCAGTTGTATTCAGTGCTAGGTATCAAATTCAGGGCAAGTACATCCCCAACATCGTAAGCATTAATATTAAGAGCACAAATTCAACTTGTGGAAAGTGATTAATGACCACAAAACAAGTGGCACACATTAAAGAACGTTTACATCTTGATATAAACATCTAGATTTAGTGTGCTGCAACGCAGCATCAGGTAACTCCCCAGTAACATCTTGGTGTGACTTGTTTGTTTAAGAGTCTCTCTGTGTAGTTCTGACTGTCCTGGAGCTCGCAGTGTAGACCAGGCTGCCTTCTAGAGCGCTGGGATCAAAGGCATGTGCCACTACACCCCTACGACACTCACTTTTAGGACGTCGATTTTGTACAGTACTAAACACTTGTACCAGCTTAGTGCTTTCCTTGTGTATAGTTACTGAGACCGTAAACAACAAAAATATTTCTAGGATGGTTGTGAAAACCTGAAAATGAGCTCTGCCGAAGTGGATTAGCACCAGGTTTAAATCTTGTAGTCTCTTGCAAACCTAGAGGACTAAAAAGCCAACCTGGGTGCTAGGGACCCAGCTCCATCCCTGCCTATCAGCGTTGGGCTCCGCCCCGCCCCGGTCCCGCCCTGGCTCCGCCCCCTCCCGCTGTACGGCCAGCATCCATCTCCCGTGAGTCTCCTCGGCTGTCATTCTTCAGAAGGGAAACCTTTTCCCGCCGAAGAAGCCGTTAAACTACGAATCGTCTGGAGTAGCGTCCCTTGCGTGCAGGCTATAGGCGGGACTTCCGCCTCCTCGGGCTCTGTCAGTCAGGAGGCGGAAGCTGGTGCCGGCGGGAAGGTTGTAGTGCGGCGCGTCCTTGCGCTTTTGCTGGGCTCTGCGTGGGCGCGCCCCCCTGCACGGCCGCGACCAGACAACCAGGTTTCTCCGGGCTCCTGGCAGCCGGGTGAGTACAACGGACTGTCGCCAGAAGTGTGGTCCGAGCGCCGGCCGCGGGACAGCGGCCTCGTGCGGACTAGCGGATGAAGGGCTCGCTTCCCGGTTGCTTTCGCCCACCTCGCCCGCGGGCGTGGGCTCCTGGGACTCCCTGTTCCTTTCTCGGGGTGGCCCTGATTGCTTTCACTCTCAGTCCGGCTTCGCTCACACTGTGTTCCAGCGATTCACTTACTCCCGGCATCTGCTTCGAGCCCCTGTCTTTCGCGCAACAATTAGTTCTCTACTTCCGCAACCCTGTTCGCGCCTGGTTTTTGAGGCAGGGTCTAGCCGTGTAACCCGGGTTGGCCTGGTACTCGCAGTTCTGCCTCATCCTCCCGAGTGCTGCGTTTTCCCAGTGCCTCACGTTTTTAAAGAGTGCATTTGTTAACTTGGTTCCCTACCCCTACCCCCTAGTGTGATTACTTGATTGAAACACAAGGGCCGAGCTTACCTTGTGATTCCGGTACTAATAAAAAACTTCATTTCTAAACTTGGAGATCAGCAGGCTTGGGGCTAGGGAAGTGGCCCAGCTGGTAAGAGCACTTGCTGCTCCAGCGATTAGGAGCATTGTTGGAATCCCCAGCATCCACCTCCGAAGCCTGTGCGGCTGTAGCACCTGGACCCTATAGCTGAGAGAAGGCAGAGAGATTGGAGGATCGGTGAGGATTGCTGGCCGCCAGCGTAGCTCCAGGCTCACTGAGAGACCCTGTTTAAGGGAACAAAGTGGAGAGTGATAGAGCAAGGTATCTGGCCTGCTCACACATGCTCGCCACTGGGCATACAGCACACACACACACACACACACACACACACACACACACACCCAAGTTTGCTTACTATTTTTGTGACAGTTTGCCTCCTCGTATGTATAAAGATGCTCATTAAAAACATTTTTTGGAATCATCTTACACAGTGTATGAAGCAGAGTAGGTACTTGTCAGGTACTTTTTTCTTTTACTAGCACAGCAAATGCTGGGATATGTTTTAAAATGAATTTTACTTTTCTTCCTAGCACTGATCATATGGATGCTTTCAAAAGGTTGATATGTTTGGTAAATACATCTTAATGATGAACATTAAAGTAATGCTAAATGTTTGTATTAACAGCTTCAGGACTAAAAAAATGCTCACTAAATAAAGTACATGAGGAATTTGCAGTTGAATTTCTGATTTAAGTGCTTTTTACGGGTATCTTTCTGAAGAGACTAAGAAACCGAGCTCAGCCCAGCGGTTCTTCACAATTTTGAGACTGTAATTTAAGGCCAGTGCATTTTATGTGTGCACATAAATTTTTTTACAGATGATTGTAAAGTGCTGATCAGTGGCCACTGAATATAATTGAAACAGAATAGGAAGATGGCAGCAAATCCTTCAGGACAAGGTAATGCATGCTGGGATTTCTGTTATTAATAGGAACTTTCCCCTCATACAATAAATGTATTTGAAGTAGAGAAAATTTAGTATAAAACAGTTACTGCATCCAGAATTAAAAAATGAGTAGCGAAGTAGGAGCCCCTAATTTAAAATCAGCTTAACACCATATCAGCTACACATTTTTTTTTAAATATTACTAATTCTGTATCTTAACCTGTTATGGTTAGTGATTCGCATTGTAAACCTATTTTTCCATTTATTTTTGTATGAGGTGTATCAGTATATATGCATGTTTGCATGTATGGGTGCATGTGTGTGGGGGTGGGCATGCGTGCATGTGTAGATAGATAGGTTGACATAGAGAATCATTGTTCATCACTCTTCACCTAATTCATTGAGGCAGGGTCTCTCAGTCAAGTCCAGAGCTTGCTGATGCGGCTTTCTCCCCATAGCCAGCTTGCTCTAGGGATCTCCTCTCTCCACCTTTCCAGGCTGGAACTACAGGTGGGCCATTATGCCCACTCAACATTTATGTGGGCGCTATGGATCTGAACCCTGGTCTTCATGGTTTTAGGAACAAGTGCTTAACCACGGAATCATCTCTCCAGCCCTCGTCATACACTTTATCCTCTGGCATCTACTTTCTTGCTCGTTTATTTGAAATCAGCATTATTTTAAAAACTGTCTTCAGACAATAACCATGCCTTTATTATCTTCATTGTTGTTAAAAAAAAAAAAAAAAACAAAACTTCAGTCATTTCACCTGTTACTCTTTAATCAAATCAAGTTAAGCATATGTTGCTATTAAGGAATATTTATTTTTAAATGTTTCATTGAAGTAAACATTTATTCCTTTTAATGTTTTTTTTTTTTTTTTTTAAAGCTTTTGAGGGCTGTGTGTTGGAACTATGATCTTCCTGCTTCAGCCTCCCAGTTGCTAGGATTTACAAGTATGTGCTAGATTCAGCTTAACAGTAAAATTTAATTTTTAATTTACTTTTTTTTTTTTTTTAAGACGAGGTCTTGCTATGTAGTCTTGGCAGCCTGAAACTTGCTACATGGTCCAGGCTGGCCTTGAACATAGAGATCTGCTTGCTTCCCTAGTGCTGGGGTTAAAAGCACTTACCAACACATCTGGCTCATCAAATTTAGTCTTTAGAAAGTATTAACTATCACTTTGTAAGGTTGGTATTTTTGGGTTTGAACTCAGGGACTGCCTGCCTCTGCCTCTGCCTCCTGAGTGCTGGGATTAAAGGTGTGCTGCTTTTGGTTGGCCCATATGAAGCATCCAAAATCTGAAGAGTGATTAGTTGAATAAACCATTTGATTTTCATTACTCCATTAAGAATTCTTTTAGCGTCATGAAGCTGCTGCTATTGAACACCAGCAGAGGGAGATCATACCATGCGCTACAGATTTAAAGAGTCTTAGTAAAACATTTTTAAGACATTAATACTTATTGGTGTTTGTTTATTTATTTATTTTGAGACGGGATCTCACTATATAGACCTGACTGGCCTAAAACTCTTAGGTATTTGAATGTTTTGCCTGCATGTATGTATGTGCACCACATACATGCAGTGCCCTTGGAGGCAAGAAGAGGATGTCAGGTCCCCTGAGACCGAAGTTACAGATTGTGAGCACGGTGGTGCTGGAAGGAAACCCATGTCTTCTGAGAGAGCGCCCAGTACTCTTACTTGCTGAGCCATCACTGCAGCTCCTTAGTAAAAAGTTTAAGTCTTTTATTGTATTTTACTGTCTACAATAAATTGCTGCAGCCCTGTGTATGTGTTTAGAGATTAGATGGAGGCTGATTGACAAGTGCCTCTCTTACTTGAGTATGGATGAGACCTAAGAGCCCACCTCCACAGTGACACTTCCTCCACCAAGGCCGTATCTGCTGCAACAAAGTCACACTTAATAGTGCTACTCCCTGTGACCTTTGGGAGCCAATTACATTCAAATTACCATAATGAAATAAGATTTATCATTCAAAAAGTGAAAGTATTTTAGTGTACTGTTTCATTCTAAGAGAATTTTACTTGACAGGCATGGGGATATTATAGTACCTACTGTATATGAGGTAAATAATCCTTAATGCTAAGAGTGAACACAGGCACATAAGTTATAGCAGGAGAAAATAGGTATTAAGGAAAAAAAATCTCATTAGTGAGTATAACCTTTTGTTTAAGGAGTTTAATCTTTGAGTTTGTAAGAATGCTGATGGTGAGAGAAAATGAGAAAAATTCACCTTAACTCATCTAAACCATACAGACTAGCTAGTCTGCCTTAAGCTTCAAGTCTGAAGTGAGAAATTATTAGTACTTAAATAGTATTTGTTGGCTTTTATATACTTTGATAGTGTAAATACTTTGATCAAAACTCATACTCCGTTAAGTCATGTTTTTTGGTTTTGGTTTTGGTTTTTGAGACAGAATCTCACTGTGTACACTTGGCTGGCCTGAAACTCACTATGCATATATAAACCAGGATTGCCTCAGAACGCAGATCTGCCTGCTTGGGGATTAAAGGTATTGCCACCACACCCAGTTTAGATCTAAAGCTTTAAAAAGGAAGGATACATTTCAGACGGGTAAGACAAGCCTTTCCTCCCAAAGGTATTCTGCTTTTCAAGTACCGGGTTACAGCATTATCACTATGCCTCACTTAAGGTCTCAACTACAGTAGTCTTTACAGTTTTCATTGAATTGAAACATGTATAAATTTGATAGTATTTTAATTGTAAGGATTCTAGAATATTATGTATGATTATGAAGCAATTATATCCAATTATAAATTAAGTTTCTTAATAGGATTCAAAGGCAAAGCAAAAATCCTTTGAAAATTTTTCTAAGAAGAAATATTTCTGTGCTGGCTGTAAGCTCATTTTAAAATGCTAGTTGCCATACAGTGTAGCCCTCCACAATGTAAGTACCTGGGAATTTCAAAAGCCCTACAGTCACCAACCAGTTACTCCAGCTGTAACTATCTCACCTCCCTGTCTACCCTTCTGTCCTGCCTCCATTTATTTCTAGCTTATACAGGCTTAGAATTCATTCATTACCTGGAGTCCAGGTTGGCCTGGAATTCCTAGCAGCCCTTTTGTTCGAGAGCTCTGGGGCTTTTTTTTTTTTTTTTTTTTTTTTTTTTTAAAGAGTTCTTGCCTTCTTACAGTAAGATATTCCAGGTCTGCCATGCCATTTATTTATCTGTTTCATAGCAGGGTCTGACGTAGCCCAGGCTAGCCTCAAAACCGTGCTGTACAACTGAAAGTAGCCTTGAACGCTTGATCCTGCTGCTTCTACCTCCCAAGTGCAAGTACTCCCCAAGTGTGAGTCGTCATGCCCAGCTATGTAGTGAATCTTTACTGTGAGAGAGAGGCTTAAGTTAGTCCACATAATCAGTGACATCATTAGCTTCCTTTGCTCTTGTATGACCAAGCAGTGAATGGCATTGGAGAACAGTGCTGGTTCCTGCTACACACAAAACTAGCCTGTTCTGTTTCAGTTATGTTGGGGGATAAGTTTACCTGCCACCTGCCTGCCTGACCACTATCACCACCTGGGAAAGAGAAAGAGGCATTTCAGTGGATTAAGTCAATGTTGATGCCTTGCTTTCCTCAGGGAACATGTCAGTGGGAAGGGGGTTTTAGAGTTAGCATGGAGAATTGACTGGAAAGCTCATAAAACCATCCTTTTTAGAAATGCCAGAATGTACTGTTACTGTTAGTTATTAGAAAAGGAGTCTGCAGTTATTAGAATTTGGTGGTATAATAGGAGTGGAGATGAAAAATTGAAGAGTATAAATTGCTAAAATAGATATGGCATAGACATTTCCCCAAACTTCTGGCCATAGTCAGGTTGCTGGTGCCTGGTTAAATTGAGAACTGCAAGTTTTAGCTATGTCTGGTTAGGCCAGTGTCCATGAATGCCTTATACATGCTGGGCCATCTCAACCAGTCTCTTCCTCTCTGGGACATTTCCAGCTACCAGTTAGTTCTTCTCTGTAAATCAGTGTAAAATCTCCAAATCCCCTAGATGGGTATTTAGGTTTAGGTCTACTTGAAAGTGCCCCCATCTCATAGTCATCCTAGTCTCCAGAACTGTAATTGTCTCTTCCTCTTCCTCGATATCCTTCTGTATTTCCATTCCTTTTACACTCTCCCCATCTCCCTCTTTTGTTCTTCCTCCCTCTCTCTGCCCCTTCTCTCCCCCTCTCTTCTTCCCCTCCCTCCCTCCCTTTAGCTAGCAATCAGAAATGCAGGTGCAAACAAGTCTGCCTGCTGAGGATTATAAAGAGCTTTAGAGTGGCCAGCAATGGGGAGAATACTCTTTTTGGTTCTGGTTTGTTGCTGCTATGCAGACACACATACCAGATCTTGACATAGGTTTGGGGGCACACATACCAGATCTTGGCATAGGTTTAGGGGCACACATCCCATGATCTTGACATAGGTGTTCAGGCAGATGGGTCTGTAGATGCTAGAGATCTGAGAATGTGGAGTCCTTCGTTGTTCACATGTTGGCATTTTAATTTGGATTTGTTTGTTTCTGTTTGAAACAGGATTTCACTGTGTAATCCTGGCTGTTCTGGAACTCACTTTGTATATCATGACGGCCCCAAAATCAGAGATCCACCTGCTTCTGCCTTCCACGTCCTGGGTTCAAAGGTGTGTGCCACCACCACCTGACTTTAATTTGGATTTTTAAATCTTAGCTGCCTGCTGTGGGACTTTGTAACACATGCTGAGATCTTGTCAAGTTTGAAGCTAAGAATTAAGTCAAATACTAAATAAATATTTGATGAAATGAGTTGTGCTCTATTTCTTAGACTTGTCTGGTCCTTCAAAAATGTATAATTTTTTAATGAATTTGATCTGAGTATATACAGTATTTGTTTTTTTAAAATTTGTGTATTTATTTTATGTATATAAGGGCTCTATCTGCATTTATGCCTTTATGCCGGACAAGGGCATCAGATTTGTGAGCTACCATGTAGTTGCTGGGCATTGAACTCAGAATCTCTGGAAGAGCAGCCAGTGCTCTTAACTGCTGAGCCATCTCTCCAGCCTACATAGAGCTTTTTTCTTCATGCAAGAATCTGCATACCAAGCGGGCATTGGTGGTACACACCTTTAATCCAAGCACTCAGAAGGCAGAGGCAGGTAGATCTTTGTGAGTTTGAGGCTAGCCTGGGCTACAGAGCGGAAAAAACAAACAAACAAACAAAAGAATCTGTATACCTGTAGATTTGCCTGTGCAGTATTTTAGGTCCCCAAATTTTGTTCAAAGAAATGATGTAACTCATACCTTGGTGACTCTTGGTGCTGGGATGGTTGTTGGTGTAAGAGTTCTTGCATGGTATGCATAAGGCATAGGTCCCAATACTACAAAAATAAATAAATAAATAAATCTTTGTATCCATCTACTGTGTTCATTGGTTTTTTTTTTTTTTTTTTTTTTGTATGTTTGTTTTGATTTGATTTTTTAAAATGTGTGTGTGTGTGTGTTGTTTACATGTATGTTTGGGTACCACATTTGTGCCTAGTAGCTACAGAGTTCCGAAGATGGCATCAGACACCTGGATCTGGAGTAACCGTTGTGAGCTGCCATGTGGGTGCTGGGAATTTAACCCAGGTCCTCTGGAAGAGCAACCAATGCTCTTAACTGCTAAGCCATCTCACCATAACACATACCCCTTTCTTTCAGGATCAAACTAGGTAGCCCTAGTTGACCAGGAACCCAACAGAAATCTACCTGCCTCTGCCTCCTGAGAGCTTTGAAATTAAAGGTGTATGCTATCATTGCTGGGTCTGGGGTGGGTTTTGTTTTTTTTGTTTGGTGTCATGTAGCCCAGGCTGCCTTTAAATGTGTTGTATAACCAAAGATGACCTTGAACTTTTGATTTTCTGCCTTTACCTCGCAGGTGTAGGTACGCATCCCCACATCTAGTTTATTCTATATTGGAGGTTGAATCCAAGGTTTAACATATTCAGCAAACAATCTACCAACTGAATTAAACCTCCCATCCCAATTTGGTTTTTTGTTTTAAGAGATAGAGTCTCATATAAGCCAGGCTGGCCTTGAACTCCACCTCTCAAGTTCTGGGATTATATGTTTGCTACCACATCTGGTACTGTATTATGCTCTTAAAGTTGCTTGGAAATGGCCAATAGGGAGAGAGAACTTACTAGTGAGTTCATGACCATGCTAGAGAATAGGAATTTTACTTTCTGGCTTCTACATGGCCTTGGTCTAAAATGCTTATCTCCCCACCCTTCTTTTTTCTTCAGGTTTTCAAAATAAAAATAGAGTTGCAATTTTGGCTGAACTGGACAAAGAGAAAAGAAAATTACTTATGCAGAACCAATCTTCAGCAAGTCACCCTGGAGCTAGGTATTGACTATTCTTTGGAGGTGCTATTATTAATCGTGCTCTGAAAGAGAACTGCCTAGTAGTACTCTTTAGAGGTCTCATTACTGTTAGAATTAGGTCTACGCTTGAAGGGTCTCCTTACCAAAATCCCAATTGTGTTTGTAGTCTGCTTGCTCCTATTGCATCATGTGCATCCCATTTCATCGTAACTGCTGTTGTCTGTGAGATTTGTTCCGCACATCTGTCTATCCCTAGTGCGGAGTACAGAGCCAGCTATCTAGGAGCTGCTTTCTGTCAGTTTAGTTTTTTGTTTTGTTTTTTAATTTACAGTTGTTCATCCTGTATAGAACATGGTTATTATAAGTTTTATTATCATACATACAGTGACATATAGTTTTACTGCTGATAAGCATCATGCTGTTTGTTAACAGTTTTTTAAAATGTTAATGTCTGATGTGGTGCATACCTTAGATTAATCCCAGTGCTTGGGAGGCAGAGGAGGCAGAGGTGTAGCCTTATCTACATAGTGAGATCCAGGATAATTAGAGCTACCTGTGTGACCTTGTCTCAAAAAACAAAAAAAAAAAAATATTATTAATAATATTAATAAAGATGATGACAGACTGGGGTACTTCAAATATAGTTAAAAGTAGGGGGTGTGTAAATTACGGATTTATATTAAAAGATTACTTGAAATCCCACACAAATAACATGGGCTTTCTTTATAAATTAATGCAGATAATAGGAAGAGGAGGAGGGATGCTTTTATTCTAGAAGGTCATTTTTCAAGTTTTATGACCATTTTGCTGTGTGGCCTAGACTGGCTTAGAACTCAAGATCCTCTTCTGCCCACCCCTGAAGTGCTGATATTACAAGTGAGCACAACCGTACTTAGCTTAGAAATTCTTTTTATCCCTACAGAGAATACACGGGCCCTGAGAGATGGCTCAGTGGGACAGGAGGCTTTTGCCCCCAAGTCTGACAACCTGAGTTCTGTCCATAGGACTTGCATGGTATAGGGAAGTGATCTCCACATGTCTGACACAAAACAAAAACTTTGTAAGGGAAAACATAATGAAAACTGTGTCCATATAAGCTTAGGAATTAACTCTGTGGTTTAATGTGCGCAGTGTTCTTGAGGCCCTGGTATTATTTCTAGCACTACACACAGAAAACAAAACACCAGATGATTCTCTTCAGATTTGTACAGCATGGTGATTAGTTAATGATGATGTGTATCTGAAAATTACTGAGAGACTTGTATGATAATAAAAATATAGTATATGACATGATGGATAAGTTATTTGGTTTGACAACAATTTTTAATGAATACAAATTATAGCAAATGTATATAGCAAAACACTATAACTATAAATATGTACATTTTTATGTGTCAGCTACACCTCAATTTTAATATGTAATTTACAATTTACTATAATAAAAATGTGCATCTCTGTGTGTTTGGTAGCCAAGTAACCAAGATTTCCATTTCAGCATCTCCCTCTCCAGACCTTCTCTTAATAAGGACTTCCGGGACCATGCTGAGCAGCAGCACATTGCAGCCCAGCAGAAGGCAGCTCTTCAGGTGAGCAAAATGAACCTACAGTCTGGTCTCATTGGAGAGTCCAGGTTCTAGAAGGCAGCACAGTATTTAGTTCGTATCTCAGTGGAACAATATCAATAAACATGTTCCACACATAATTGTGGCAGTTTGCCAATGTTCACTCTTGCCCAGAGGGATGGAAGGACCAGAGCTTCAGTAATGAAAATATCTTTTATGTGCTAAAGCAGTCATGATTGATTCTCTGCTGTGCTTTGCCATGGGACTGCTTGTTTACAAAAATATTTGTACAGAATGATACAGAAAATTGAACTGGCTAGTTTAATGGTACCATATATATCTTGACGTTTGTCACACCGTTACTTTGTCTGATTGTCTTCCTATTTTACTATTTGTATATATATTTTTAATAGTCTACACTGCTTGCATGGACAGTATTTAAAGACTCTTACTGTTGTGCTATGAATGTGATATTCCAGCTTGGAAACATTATTCTTTAAAATATTAGTTTTAGTACTACATTCCTCTGTGATAACTTAAAATCCTCAGAGACCTTGGATGAAACATCTATTTTGGGGGGTGGATAGGTTATTCATACAAAACCCCTGTAACGTCATCATTTCAAGGGTGGAATGGGAGGATCATGAGTTCTAGGCCAGCATAGGCTAAATAGCAAAACCCTATCTCATAAAACTTAAAAAATAAAAGTTTGGAAGGTGTATTGTAATTGCCTTTGTTTTTAAGCAGAATCCCAGAATTGGAATGGACATTATAAAGATCATCTCACTTTAAATGACTAAAAGCAGTCCTCATAAAAGAGAGAGCAGGGCATTGGTGGGCACACCTTTAATCCCAGCACTCGGGAGGCAGAGGCAGGCGGATCTCTGAGTTAGAGACCAGCCTGGTCTACAGAGCAAGTTCCAGGACAGGCTCCAAAGCAATACAGAGAAACCCTGTCTACGAAAATTGGGGGGGGGGGGGTTACTTATAGTTTTTAATTAGTTGCATTCCAAAATTCTCTCTGTTGGATTTTAGTCATCTGTGGTCACTGTGGATGCTGCCCTTCTCCCAGGCTTTTGTCTCCTGACCTTTGCTGCTACTTTTCCTCACTCCAAAGAATAAAGCAATCAAGTCTGCTGATGGAAGAGAGAGTTCCACAGAGATAAAGAGGCTGCCAAATAAGTGTCTGACATAATATGTTAATCTGATTTGTGTCATTGTCTGTGTAAACAAAGTTAGCAGCACTAGACCTGTTTTATACAGAAATTAGATCTCAGGAATTTAGAAAGGATAATGAATTTTAATGCCTTAGTTGAAAAATATGTCTTAATAGCCTTTTTTTTTTTTTTTTTTTTTTTTTTTTTTTTTTTATAAATCCTTCTCAGCATGCCCACGCACATTCATCTGGATACTTCATAACTCAAGACTCTGCATTCGGGAATCTTATCCTTCCTGTTTTACCTCGCCTTGACCCAGAATGAAGAAAGTATCTGTGATAAAGGACCTTGTAATATCAAATGTCAAAGCTCTCACTCAGCTCTGCACAAACTCTGACTTTGAGAATTTTGGAGAACTTAGTTTTTGTTTCTTTAAAGAAAGGAAGTGAGTGAAGGAAGAGGGCTGGGATGCTGAGAGCTTTGGAAGCGATATCATTGGTGGAACTGGTTGTGCTGGCTGTGACTAACTTTTTTGTATTGCCATTGAACTCTTCACTCGCAGACTCAGAATCGCTTAGTCTCCTAAACTCTGCACCACCTTCAACAAGCTGACTGACCGTGTCATGCACGAAGCCCTGGGTTTGACCCCAGTGCTGCACACACAAGCTCTGGTGTATATGCCTGTAATCTTGGCACTGGAGAAACAGGCAGGAAGATCAGAAGTTCAAAGCCATCCTTGCCAATATAACTAAATTTGAGACCAGTCTGAGGTATATGAGACTATGCCTCAAAAAACAAAAACAAGAGAATCATTTCTAGTCCCAACTTTAGAGAAACGACAATGCTTTTTAAAAATGTGAACAGTAGGCCTACATTACAAACATACTTGTGGTTTCTTGTGTTCAGAATCAACATATCTAGACATACTCTGAGCTCATAACTAGTTCTTCTACTCTGAATTTTAAAAGAGAACTCCAAATAAGACTAAATTACCATTGGGCGGTAGCAGATCTCTGAGTTCGAGGTCAGCCTGGTCTGCGGAGTGAGTTGCAGGATTGACTCCAAAGCTACTGGGAAACCCTGTCTGGAAAAACAAACAGAAGACTAAACTACCAACCAATCTGAAATCGTTTTAAAATAAATGCTATTGTAAATGATGTGACTAAATACTGTTATGAAAAACAAGCAATATGGTGGTTTTAAATGTATTCCTATTCTCACTTCATGTTGCTCCATAAATGGTGTGCTTAAATGGTTTTATTTTCTATTTTTCATCTAATTGGAAACTTAAATTTGGGCAAATTTAAGGACTTTTAACTCTTTTTAAATAAAAAAGACTTAGATTAAGCAAATTGCTCAACAGGGCCAAACTTTAACAAGAAACTGAGGCGCTTAATTAAATATGTCGTTGCCAATCCCTTCCCTTTGTCCTATAGAATTAGGATGTGATTAAAAATAAAGTGTGAAAAGCATGGGTTAGAGATTTCTCTTGCACAGAAATGTCATGATCAAGTGGTATTTTATAAGGAGGTTAATTTGTAAGGCTCCTGGCATTTCCTGTTCCCAAGTATGGAACCTCAGGATTTGTAAAAGATGTGCAGTGTTGTTTTAGTGAGCCAAAAAGCCCCACTCCCTGACTGTCTCACATCCCCATCCTCTCTGGTGTTGGAATTTAAATTTAACATTTTCAGTTGGGTCAGTATTTAGCTACAGTTATACTCCTAATAGATACCTGCAGGTATCTATTCACCAATCATGTAGCACCACCCTGCTCAAGAGTGGTGCAGTAGTGAGCAGTCCTAAAAGAGGCTGTGCCTCTTAAGAACCTGAACTGCTTCCTACATGTGAGTACGGTGGAGCTCTTCCAATCATAATAATGCTCCCCACTGCAGAATGGTAGCCTCGTGTCTGCTGTGTCTGCTCCTCTCCGTCCAGCTTCTCCTCGGGCTTCTAGTAGCCTTCATTCTCTTGGTTTTCTCTGTGTGTGGAACACTGTTGATGACGTACTAACATGGTTCTAAATTTATCCACTGATATATAGTTTTCCCACCATTGAAGGTGGGAGATGTAGGTACCCCTGTTTCTGAGATAAATACCCTAATGAGAAACCCTTAAGGGAGTTGTCTCACAGTTTGAGTCCATCATGGTGGGGAAGTCAAGGCTGCAGCAGGTTTGGAGCAGTTGGTCACATCTACAGTCAAGTAAACAACAAAGATTGGATGGACTGCTTTCTGTTACAGCCAGGGAATGTGCCGCTCTCTACAGTGGGTTTATCTTCTACCTCAGTTAATACTGTGAAGGTGATTCCCCAAGGTAGGCCACTCATACAGGCATGAGTATGTGGCATGTGCTGTGTTTGATGAACAAAAAGATCACTGAGACTTGTATGAGGAGGCAGCATTGTGGAGGACCCTGCTCTGGCACACAAGTATCATAAAGCACGCAGTTGTGGCACGAGACAGGGTATCTTGGAGTACACTGCGGCCTGGATGTGGTTAGAAAAACACAGGTGATGTCACTGGCAAGGGAGTGAAGGGTGCCTCAAAGATCAGAATTGCAGTTGAGCCCAGGGTGGTTCATGCCTAATCCTCGCACTCAGGTAAGGGCCTGGGATGCAGAGTAAAACCCTACTCCTTAACCCTATACTCACCCCCAAAACATAGTGAAAGAGTGAGTTAGGTCAGCAATGAAAACTGGAACATTATAGGATTAGACGCAGTTGAAGTCCTGGGGTGAAATTCCTTAAGTGTGGGTGAATTTAAGTAAGTCACTTAAATTTTTTGCATGCCATTGCCATCTATAAATTGGGAACAGCATACAACTGATGTGTCTTATTAGACCAATATTTTTTAAAATATAGGTCTCAGCTCGTTTCTGGGTTGAGAAGGCAGCTTATAGTTTAATGCATTGTATCAGCATTAAATAAATGAAAATAGAAAAAGAAAACAGTGTCCTACCTGTGTTAATAGGTGCTCTAGTTTCATGAATGTTCTGTGGTTGTGTATATGTGTATTTGGTTTACATTCTCTTGTAGTGTATAAGTCTTCAAGGGTAAAGGGTTTGGTTTTGCTCCCTCTGGTCCTTCTGTTACTTCATTAATATACTGCATCAAGGATGATACCTGTTATACTGGGGATATTTATATCTACTTGTTGAAGGCGTGAATGCAGGAAGACATACACACATTCAACCTTGGTTTCAACATTAAACAAAAAACTCTCCATCTTATTTTTGAAATAGGATCTTCCAGCAAGCCTGGAGCTCACTGATTTTGCTAGCCTGGCTGGCGCAGGCCCCAGGGATCCTCTTCAGGGCTGGGATTACAACTTCTGCCAGTATTTTATGTGGGTGCTGGAGGTTGAATTTAGGTCCACATGCTTGTAGTTTACAATGTGAGCCATCTCGCAAGCTCCTAAAAGTGTTTTTGTATGTGTGTGTGCTGTTTTTCTGAGACATGAAAAATAAATTTTGAAAGCCACCAAATAATTGAGATGTCTGCTTTTTATGATTAAAACCAAAATGGCACAGTGATTTTTTTAAAGGCAGGGAAGGGTGTGGTTTTTGTTTATTTGTTTGGTTTTTCTTATGTTGTTTTCTCCCACCCTGAAACTGAGTTGCTTTATTAAATCATCTCAATTATTTGCTTTGCAGGAAATAGTTATATGCGTTCAAAGCCCACTTAGGCAAGTGCTTTGACATTCTGAGAACAGAAGATGAAAACAATGGGAATTGATAGTTTGATTCACACCCCCCCCCCCCAGATTCTCATTAGTGAGCACAAGTCCTATTGCAACTATGGTAGTCAACCAGTAGTTATGCAGTGCCTTCCCTATTCACACCTGTGCATAGTAGCCGCTTTTTGTAAGAGCAAATAAAGAATGAACGCGAACCATGAGGAGGGGGAGAACAGTCACTGTACTGAGTCTAACCATGTTGAGCATGCAAAGACAAATACCCAATAACTAGTGAATCTGGTGAGGAGACAGACACCTAAGGACATGAGCATGAAAGGACGCATGAAGGCTGTATCAGAATAGCATTTGAACTTAATTTACAAGATGAAATATCTTGAGACAGAAAAAAAAAAAAACATTCAAAGGAAAGAGACAGGAGGATGTTAGGTATGTAGGGGTCACCATGGAGCAACCAAAGTACAATTTAGCGGGAGCATAGATATCTATATTTTAGAAATGACTAAGTGGACTGGGAATACAGTTCATTGGTAGAGATTAGTATACATGAAGTTCTCGGTTCAATCCCCAGCACTAATATTCCCCAACTGAGCCTGTGTCTAGGATGGGTTCATGTTTCAGCATCTTGAATTCTGGGGTGAGCTACTTTGCTTGGTGCAAAGCTGGGAGCATTGAACATTTAGGGGCATAGTCAGGTAAAGAGATGGATAAACTTAGCCCTTATCAGCTCATGGAAAAGGTGAACTTGGGAGATACCAAAAGAACATGACCAATTCAGCTCACCTCCACTGATTTCTGCTGTCTTTCCCATCTCATTTTGTACCCTTTCCCCAAATTTAGCTCTCCATCTACCTAAATTCCCTTGAGGTTTCTTCTTTAGAACTGTCTCCAAGAACTTTGAAGGAAAAAGCCAGGTACTGTCAGAGGTATTGAATCAGTCTTCACACAGCTCATTAAGATCAGCGAATAGTCTTAGAATTTACTCAGTGCTATGTGCTCTTAACATCACATTGCTATTGGTCATATTTCCTTCTGTGGAAGCTTACTCAGCCAGTTTTTCAACTCCTATCACTATTACTGACATCTCCCCTCGTGGCTAGTCTCTAAAGTGAATCTCATTATGTATGTATGCATGCAAGGGGGCACACGAAAGAAACTGAAGACATGATTGCTCCATTACTGGGGGAAAAGTTTTTGTGAATAAGAGAGAAAATATCAAGAGGATCTGGCAGAGTCCAAAGCAGAGAGAAAGAGAAGTAGACTGGTCATGGCCAGTGCTGTCTGCAAGAGAGATGACAGCACAAGAGGGTATAGGGTGAACAAATCCCATGGCTCATAAGTAACAGAGGAGGGACTCCTGGAGATGGAAAACCATGTCACAAGTCCCTGAGGAGGGCTGGCTTCCATAGGGACTGCCAGAAACCCTATAGTCCCGTCTGAACTCATTCTAGATATGTGTACATCCTCAGATGTAGCAATGTATGTGCCACTGTTCTTATGAATAGGTGGGCTCTCTTTCCTGTCCTGCACCCAAGTGCTGGCCTTTTGACTTCTGACAAGCAGAACGGCAGAAGGCAGGATATCTGAGACGGCTTAAAGAGGATAGGTAGTTTCTGCTGTTGTTCTCTATTGAGAAGCCAGCCAACATGAGGCGTCTGACTCCCTATAGGAGGAGGAAGCCTACGCAAACTCCATGAAGAGTCTACATGGAGCACTGGCCTAGTTAGGTTTACTACTGCTATGACAAACACCATGACTAAAGTGACTAGGGGAGGAAAGGGTTTATTTATTTGGCTCATGCTTCCACATCTTAGTTCATCACTGAAGGAAGTCAGGACAGGAACTCAAACAGGAGGAACCCGGAGGCAGGAGCTGATGCAGAGGTCATGGAGGAGTGCTGCTTACTG